TCAAAAGCTGACAGCTCTAGTGCAAAGCAAACGTATTTGTGACCAGATTTCTTTTTTTTTTTTCTCTAATCAAGTGAATGTGGTTCATCAGAAAAATAGAGGGTTAAAGAAATGGTTGTTTTCTCATGCTCCTGCCTCTGACTTTTCTTGTACGAGTCAGTTAACTTTTGTGAGAGGTGATGAATAAAGGAAAACAACTGTGTAGACTGATTATACAGGAAATTTTTCTACAGTATATTGAGATCCCAGTATTAAAAACGCTCAATAATTTATCATGAGTCTCACGATTACTGCCATTCATCCAGTAATACTATGTGCTGAAATTATGTTATTGCCAGGGAATCAGAGATTTCATTTAAATAGACTCAATTTCTCATGCTTAATTAAAAAATATCTAATAAAAACCTGAAAATTGTAGGATGCAGGAAAGAAGAAAAAAAATATGTTGCAGAGGTATATGGCTGGAAAACTAAAGGAGTTACCACTGCACAATTCAGGTTTCAAGTAGCTGTGTCTAATTCATTCCAGCAGGTAAAATTGGAGTACAGCACCACTGAAGAGCAGTGTTCACAAAAGAATAAACATGGCAGTTTACCTGATTTTTTTTATGTTGTATGTAAGTTGGCATATGAAGAGATCCGAGATGTCTGTTTAGATTTTAGCACTCTTAATGTAACTAAAAATGTCCTAAAGGCTCAGCACTTGCACCCACTGGGATTTACACAGCGCACCGGCTAGATATAGCACACAGTTTTAAATTTCACAAAAAAAACCCAAAACCAACCAAGACTGGCATGTGAACCTCTGAGTTAAAGAAACTGCCTGCACACTGTATGCTGATATTTGTTCTAGCAGATCGATCTCTGTCATGCACAATATTTTCGTATCTTCATATCCACTAAATATGTTTTCGTTTTACTCATCTTACAAGTTTCTCATCGTGTGACAGAATGGAAGATGGGTTGCCATGCCTGCGTTGTATGTAAAACCAGAGAACATTTAAGACGTGTCCCTGCAAGACATGATCAATAACAGCATGCTGCAAAAGCAAAACTGAATCTGTGTAAAAAAAGACTGAGTGGAGTCTTTCACATTTTTGTAGCCTGGATTTTAAGTATTCATTTTTTAAAATGTTTTTTTGCATGCCAGTGGATGTGCTTTGAGTTGTTAGTAGGCAGCTTGGATGTTTGAGAGAGCAAGATGCCTCGAAAGCAGATTTTAACTCACTGAAAAACCAGCTGTGACGTACTCACCGAAAAAAAATTTGTGATGAACCCCGCCCAACTCCATTTTATTTAGTTTCGTTATTTAGATTGTAAAACAGATGAAAATATAAAGGATGTTTATAATTTACGTAGATTAACATATTGCGTGTATTTAATCCAATTATTATTTATTGTCACAGTCTTTTGGAGCGAGGTGCAGATCCACCTGATGTCCCCAAGAGCTGACTTTTATAGTGAAATTAGGATGGCAAGACGACATAGTTCCTAGATGAGTAGGTTATAACACTTTGGAAGAGAGAAGAACCTACGACTTCATTTAGGAGGTATCATGTGATACTGAATCGTCTTTAACACTAGCATTTTTGGAAGTTTGTGGGGTTTTTTAGCTTTTTGCGATTTGCACAGTGTCAGAGAGATAAAGACAGGGACAGTAGTTATTTCCTTCCTACAAAGATGTTTACACTGGAAGATAAAAGACGTTGAAAAAATGTTACCTTGGTAAAAACCTAATATGAATATTCAGATTTATTTTGCAATATACAGTATAATGCTACAATTATTGTTATGTTTTATATTCATATTTATCTCTAAAGTAATTGGAAGTTCGTTAAATACATTTTAGTTTACTGAAGAATACCTTTCCCAAAGCCAAGTGTGGTGGAAATGTTATTATTTTTTCATTTTAAATTATATAAGAAAAGCATTTCAGAATCAATTAGCATTTGAACTAAAATTTTTTTCTTTAGAGATGATAATTGTGCAAATGTTACATCAATTTGTGTGTGTATTGTGTGTATATTATTATATATAAATGTTAACTGAGAAGTTGTCATTAGTATTATAACCAGTTCAGTATAAGAATAGAATCAATTATGCTGCTTTAGCATTTCACTTTATGAGAAAATTGTTGTCTTTACTCTTTGCTAAGTTATTCTTGCATTTAATAATTCAATAGTCAGTCTGAAGCATTTTTCAACAGGGACAAGGGAGCAGAAGCTTGTCTTTATTTTCCATGTATATGCAGTGTTGTACTCGAGGGAATGGTATATCCAAAAATAAGACTATAAATAAGAAATCAGTGGCTTTTTCTGTCTTGCTGCATTATGTGGGTTTGATATATGCCTCTGCAGCATTATTACTTACTCTGTTCAAATCAATGCTCTGAGCTTTCCTTTCTGTGATTGATTTTTTCCAGATTAGCCTACAAAGTATGTGATTTAATAAATACCTTTGTTGCCTGTTTACTAACACACAAATGTCTGTAGTATTGCATACAGAGATACTATAAAGTTTCCAAAATGTTTCAGTCAATCATCGGATTTTGATGGTATAACTTTGAATAGGAAAGAAAACCATTCTGGTCTTATGTAGTCAAAAGCAAAATAAAATTGCTTGTAGGAGATGGAAAGAACGCAAGAACTTCTAAAAATCAAGCCAGATTCTGTAGGAGACAACGGTGAAAAGGAGAGATGCTTACGTGGGTATTGTCCTTTTTAATGCCGCTTTTACGCTTCAGAAAAGAAGCATTTTTTCCATATTTTTATGTTCTTAAACGTTGTGATAACAAATTGAAAAGTATCAGTAGAATTCTGTAACTGTTCATGTCCCTCCCTGAAATATACCTATGAATATGTATCTTGCATTACCGTTTAAGGAAGGTTTTTGCAGAAACGGGGTGTCAGGGAAGAATTCAAATGTTTAGTGTGATGTAGTACTGTTTAGGATTCAATGGCTTTGGGCTCCATATAGAATTTCTCCTCTTTAATAGAATGTTATTTCATTGCCACAGTTGCTTTTCCATAGCAGCTTACAGGTTAGTTGTTTTGGGCAGCTGTGTCTTGAAAGAGTTCTGTGCAGGACAGGGAGGGATTTTGCATGGCATTTGGACATTTGGAAGCAGATTTTTACAGTTGCTTATGGCTGGATTACATGAACCTCATTGGGATACAGTTTTGTACAGATTTCGGTTTGCCATAACAATATTTTTTTTTGTTATTTCCGCAGTACCTCTCTGATATGCCTAAGACCAATGTTTTCTAGTGCTTTTCAACCCAAAGACTTTTGTGTATGATCACTGGTAGAAAACATTACTGCCTTCAAGCAGTAATGGCCCGTGCAGTTGGGAAGTTTGGAGAAAAGTTTCATGAGAGGTTACTGTGTAATTTTTTAACATAGATGCCCAAACGCAGTATTTTTCATCTTCCTTCAAGTTCACTGTTAGTTCTTTAGTTTTTCTGGTAATGGCCTGACATTATTCCTCCCTATTTTTTTCTCACTGTATATGTGGTGGTTTTTTTCCTTCGTGTCTTTTGCAATATTGTGTTCTCTAGAGGTAAATCTGAATAGCTTCATAAGTACATCTCTGCTCATTTGGAGGTTGCAGCCTGATATACAGCATGTTCCCTCAGTCTCTGTACCCAAACCAGTCTGTGGCCAGGTCAAAGACCAGTATTTCTTTAATGCTTTCTTATAAATGTTGTTGGGGTTCGATTAACCTTTCTCCAGGAAACTTGTTTCTGATCTACCCTCTTTTCATCCACTTTCCTGGGAGATGGTTTGCCTTTTCAGTTGCTGTACTATTGTTTTCAATATTACTTAGCATTGTTGTCTTTTCCTACTACTTTGTTTTGTGGAATTAAAATGCTACTTTCTGCACAGCAGCTATCATATTGCTTTTGAAGGATAGATATTATTCTAACCCCCCCAACACCCTGGAAGCATTGTACAATATGAGTCTATTCAGTCCACATTTTTATCATCACGATTGCCATCACCTGCAGCCATCGTGCCATTTTAGAGCACAGCCCTGCAGGTATTTTTTTCCCTTTTTGCAATATCAGGATATGAAGAAGATGAATGAAAGTTGCTTTCATGTTTCTGTCAGCGTGTTTTTATAGCTCCCACGAACAGTGGCGGACTTGGCGGCTAGAGACTGAAATCCTCTGTTTAATCACAGGCTCGGTGTAGTTCAGCAGAAAGACATATTTCTATACACAGCCCCCGTAGCATGTCTAAGCCCTGAGCTGGAGAGCCTATCTTGTGTAACTGAAAAGAAGCACTCAGGTCAGTCGGTCCCTGGCCTCATCTCTGGAACGGTCGAAAAGAAACATTCATGCCACTGAGTTTCATGACAGGTGCTAATGTCTAGTCTGAAGTGGACTGAGAATTCTCTTTCACTCGTTTGGGAATTTCTTTCTGTAAGTTACTGCGAGAATGTAGTGTTCTGTCCAGTTTGGAAGTTGTATGTCTGTGTGCAGCATGTTGTTGCTTGTCTCTTCAAAAGGCAGTAGGTTTTCAGGTCAGCTTGCATTTAGCCATGGGCTTGATCTGAAGCTCATTAACGTCTGTAATTTTTTATCTTTTTTTTTATTTAACTTATGTGAACTCTTAAAAATCCAATAGCTAAAACCAGAGAACTAAGTAAAACAATAAACCTCATTCTTACTTTTAGAATGTGGAGACGTTTTGTTTGAAAACGAAGCAAAACTAAGGCCCTTCAGAGACTCCTGCAGTATCGTAGGTCCGCAGAAAAAATACTGCACAGAATTCTTGTGTGTGGTCATAAAATGTAATCTCTTAACATTTTTTAATGTTGTATTAGAAAGGCAATGTTCTAGGTCATATTCCTTTTCACAAACGTGTTTATGACGTTTTTATTAATTTTTCCCTTAAAATCCGATGTAATGAAAGTATGTGCTATTTCAAAACAAGTGCTGGCTATTAAATCTATTAGAAACCATTTGACTGTTTTGTGGGTTTTTTTGTATTTTTCAGCTAACAGGACAAGTGACTTTGCAAATTGCCAGTGAACCAGTTTTGCCGTTTAATGCCCTTGACATCGCGTTAGAAGTTCAGAACAGTCTTAAAGGTAATTTTTTGTCAGAGGAATATTATTCTTCATTAATACAGAGAAAAAAAAAAAGGATCATCTATTCCCTGGTACAGATTTTTAATTTCCACTTGAATGATAGCCAGTGATTTTACTGGTTAAACAGTGTTATTATATAATGCTAAATAAAACACAGGTTTTGTTGCTAACTAAAGCCATAAAAAGTTTGTATTTCTTCTGATGTTATTATGTCATCTACGGAATAAGTAGTATTAAAATCTCATAATTACAGTCAAAGATAACAACCTCTGTGACTGAACTTGATTTTAATTCCCTTCAGGGCTTTGTTCAGTACAAGAAAGAGAGAGCTTCTAATCCAGTTGCCGTTTGGCTCCTTAATTTTCACAATCATCTTCCTTGTTTCGTTACTCCACCAACTTGCCTTGTTGGCGGAGCATGCTGACTTTTCTCCTTTTTCAGGCGTGACAAAGCACGGTAATTTACCAATACGTATTGTTTGCGTTGATTAAGCACTGAGACCCTGGACACTCAGTATGTGAAACTGATCTTGGTGTGTTGGGGACAACGGTTTGGGGTTAGGGAGATGGACAAGACAGTTCCTAGTGAGAAAGTAAACAGAAGTGACTGGTAACTTGGAAATGAAGCGAATATAATTCTCATAGACTCTGAATTTGGCACTGTTAGGTGTAGGATGAATGCCTTGATACGCGACTGCTCCATCAAGGGCGTGGAGCCGTTACTAATATTCCAGTGTGGCCCTCTCATTTCTGGCTCATTCTGTTGTCTTGTGGTCTTGTAGGGCTAGATAAAAGAACAAGCATTCTGCAGTCTTTTTGTCCTTTGTTGATAGCAGAACCCAATGAAGCCAATAGCCCTTGGCTTGGGCTTATGGAGATAACACAGTTAAAGGGTGCAGCTGTGCATTCCCTCATTCCATTTGCTACTGGGGGCTGTTGTTTTCTTTTTTTTTCTTCTCTACCGTTGGCAGAAAACTGTTGATGTGTTATAAGGAACTGAACCCATTGTATGTTACTGAGATGTTCTCTGCTACTATCTAGACTACAGAAGAACAATAAACGTTCTTCTTATCAATTAAGAAAAGAATATCTGTCTTAGCTCCAGTCTTGGGCACTGAGGAGGGAGAGGAAGTCTAGGTTCTGATGCTGTCCAATGTCACTCCTCCGTATAAGCTTTCTCCTTCAGTACCATCTGTCTTCCTCCTCCCATTCTGTCCCTTTTCCCTTGTAGTTTCCTCATATCTTGTATTCAAATGAGATCCAACTCTCCTTCCTTTTCTAAGTGACTAGTTGAAAGTAGACTGGATGTGGAGAGCACCGAAGAGGCTTAGTTCTTGGAGATTAAATCTTTTGATAATTTAGCTGCCAAACTCTAACATAATTGTGTACAAACTGAGACATTTCAGAAGCTGGTGTTCTGGTCAGAATTCAGTGAACTTGAAAGCAATGGTAAAAGGTACATCCCTGACAAGAACCCCCGTGAAATTTGAAAGGCTCCTCCAAACCATGCCCTTGTTAGGATGTCAGAGGGGAAAAATGTGAGATAGGTAAAACCATGTTTTTATTTCCTCTTCTCCAATTATGTCTCTGATACAGATTACTTGTAGTGTGCTAAGGCCTTTCAAAAATAATTTTTCTATTTCTACATTTATGGAATTCTCCAGTTAAATAAAGATGTATATTCTATAAAATCACGCCAAATCTTTACATATAGTTTAGTAGAATCTTATCTCAAGCTTAAAGATTTTTTGCTATCTTGAGGTGTTTCCCCTACATTTCATTCACTCCCTACAGTATAAACTATCACTTTTCTGTAATACACATTCATAGATGTATGATACCTTTTCTTTAATCTTCACCATCCATCATTGTCAAGACCTAGGAGTCAGTAGGCTGGCGTTGGTCTGGAATCAGTGAGCATCCAAAAAGACAAGTAATTTTAGCTCTGTTGTGCTATATAAATGTTGGTTTAGTTCAGCCTAAACACAGCAGGAAAGAATCACCCGTTAAAAAGTGTGGCTCAGGTGGTATTCCTTCAACTGAACATAGGATGTCTGGTATTGTTTTTCCTTTTTTCTTTATTTTGAGTAAAAGGAAATTTTGATTTAAACTGACTTTTTTTCCTCTAACTTCAGTAAGACCATTTATCTCAACCACTACGGGGAGGGAAAATTATTTTCTAGGCTGTAGGGCCAGCAGGTTAAATTTTCTCCTGGTTGTTCACTTTGAATTTTTGTTTAATGACTTTTCTCATTATTTTCATGTCTTGTCTATCTCAGACTTGTGTCAAATAATGGTTTATTTTTATTTTGGAAAACAATAAGACTATGGTCTCTTTTCTGGCTCCTTAAATGAGAAGTTGTACTTTTTAACATGGCTCATGGATGTTTCCATTCTTCAAAAGATTTTGTGTTGTCTTAGATTTCCAGTTCAAAGGAGCATTGTCTTAGTAAACTTCTCCAACTTCATGCAAACTGTAAATGTAGAAAAGGTGCAGGGAAATCTGCATGACATGCTAGAAGATTTGTTCATTAGGCTCAAGTTTGCGCCTCTGGGTTCTGGTTCAGCCAATCCTTTAAACACACATCTTATTGCCTGTTGGACTTTCTCACGTTCTTGAAGTTAAGTCATATGTGTAAAGACTTGAGTCGCAGTTTTGCAATCTCCCGGATGTCCTCACAAAAGGTTGTACATGTCTTATGATTTGTTAATACTGCTTTTATTTATGTTTCCAAAGGATTAAATTCTGTAACGTGCTGACTGTCCGTACTGTTTGCTCTGTTAAATTCAATGGGGTGTTACTCAGCACTTTATAAACCGTTTTTTACATTCAGGGTAGGCTGGGTGGCAGGTTATAGGGAAATGTCATCCACAGCATGTTTACATCTGGCTTGAGGCTTATTCCTCAGAAAGATGGGAAATGGCTGTTAAGCGACATGTGTTCTCTCCGCTTACACACACCTGAACTGTTGGAAGCAAGCTACTGCTTTGGGGTTTAGCTGAAAGGAAGGCTTGTGACTAGAGAGACATTTCCTTTTGTGCATCTGCTGATGGTCTGATGTTTAACAGGAAACCTTGTGGTCATAAATTATATGAGATGGGTTCAGAGACTGAAATCCAGGTCCCCGGGGCTATTCAGGCTGTTACCTATCTGATCACAGATGTGATATTTTAGAGAAATTCATAAATAGATGACAGTTTAAAATATTCTCATTAACAACACATTGCAGTTGTGTGGTGTTTGGGCCTTTCATACATTTAAAATCAAGACCCACTGCAACTGGAATCAAATACAAGAATATCTCTCTAGGCCTTGCACGTTGTGAAAACCCAATTTATCTTTTGAGGTAAGGCTCAGACAAGATGTCAAATCTGGTGTGTGAATGGTACAAATGGTTCTTTTAAGCACTTCTGTGGAAGTGTTTTGTTTGTATATGCAAGTACAAATGTATATGCACTTGTATTTTGTATGTGCATAGCATTTTTATTCAAAACATATTTGTTTCGTTGACTGAATGCTTTAGCACTGTGCGGTCTGGGCTTGCTCCTTGTAGCCTATCTGGCACTGAATTTGAGCCTCTTTGAAACTTAGTACATATTACAGCAAGCTTCAGGGACTGATGGTGGAGGTGTTAAAAGTGTCTCATTAGGATCAAAAGCCTTTCTGTACCTTTGCACCTGACTGACTCAGCAATCACAAGTTCAATCGCACAGTTTACAACAATACAGGCAGCCAGGTTTGATGCTAGCCATGTCTCTCGCTTGGGTGCTGTTGGCTGTCAAAGCTGATACCGTTTCGTTGTGGCAGGTCACTGGGCTCATCTAGACTCCCACAGACCTTGCAGAAATTGGTCTCTGTTCCCCCAGCCTTAGATGGTGGCTGAGTCGCCCTGGGCACACACACCAAGATTCCCTAGCTGGGGCTCGCATCGCCGGCTGCTGAAGCTGGTGAGCAAATCGGACAATGCGTACACCATCTCTGGTGGGTACTGGCTGAGAGGCCCATGAAGACAAATTAAGCAGGGGTGAGATTTTCTGGTTTTCCCTGTATAGGGAGGGCAAGGGCTGTGATTTAAAGTTCTTCGTCTGACGCAGTGTCAGTTGTGTGTTGCTTCCTATCAGTTAGGCCCTTTCTTCTCCCCAGCATGGATATTTTACAGATGTTACAGCAACAGAAATACTTGGGGTGATAATAGCAGGCAGTGCTAGCAGAAGTTTAAAAATAATCTGGTTTATGATAAGCAATTTCCAGCAAGGTCTGCATGACTTTTCACGGCCCTGGCTCAACCCATACATTTCAAAACATCAGTCTAAACTCTCTGTCCTTAGAAAAATCAATAGAGAAACATATCTCTGTCATTTACTTCATTGCTGCATACTCATTGCCTACAGCTATCTGCTAGTCTTCAGCTTGGCATCATTTTACCTTTTTGACCGTATTTCCCTGATAATTTAGGGTCCTTTTCAGAGTTATTTTCTCCATCTGTCCGTAATGCTCAGAAAGTTTGGCTCTTTACTGTTCCCACTCTTAGTCTTGACTGCTACAGAGGTGAAAAGTGCAACAGTTAGTTATCTGTATATATGATAGAAATAACTTCTTTGCCATGAGACACTGACATCTCATCTTCAGTATCCTTTCAAGGATATTGTCATTAGTGCTGGCAAACCTTTCATCAGCCTTTAAAAAAAAAAATCATGGAAAAATGCATTTTCCACAGACAAAGTGTTTGGTACTGAAGGGAAGGAATGAGAATCTGTTCAGTATTAGTAGGCCATATATGTTTCAGCAGCTCTGTATGAAGTCATTGATAACTTCCTCTGTATTGACATGCATAAGAATATGTCACAACATACATTTGAATGATGGCCTCTGTGAAAAGAGACTTGTAGCAAGATCAGATTAGTTTGCTTGGGCAGTAGCAGTCATGGTAGCAAAATGCTCATGGCAATGTATTCTTTGCACTGAGCATGTCCATGGATTTGTGTTTCTGCCCCCTTTAGAGCACTTTCTACAAAGCTTTCCCATTCAGATTTCCACTGCCAGGTCTGATCATCCAATTGTGCACAGCATGAAAAATCTTCCTAGTGAATACAACAACAAACCATAGCTGATTGGGAATGTGCAAGCTAATCAAAACCTCAAGCAATTTCCCCTCTGTCTTACATGCAAACACATGTTCACATGCATGGAGAGCGAGCGTCATGCCTTAAGCTGCTGATTTGTCTGTGCTCATTCTCCTGTAGGTACTCGTAAGCAAGTGCCTTCATACTGGAGGGCACAAACACAATTTCAAAATGTTAATTCTCTAACAATACTTTTCATAAGAGCAATCAGTTACACAGGGAAAGACTACTGTATTCAATGTCAGTAAAAATAAATATCTATTTGGTATAACCTCTTTCTGAATAAAATCCAGTTACATTTAGCAAGTGTAATGAAATTCAACAGTGTAATTCTCTGATCAAGAGTACACATACTCTTGAGTCACTCTCTTGTACTTGCAATTTTATTTATTTAACAACTAAACAACTAGCTTAGATGATTCATCATGACTCATACTGGAGACAAAAGGACAAAGAATACAAAATATAATAGTGTGGCGTTGTTTTCTCTTGAGTGAAGTAACGCTTGCAAGGTTTGTTTTTTTATTTTTTCTGTAGAAGCATCACAAGATGTTCAAGACATTATTAGTTAATGCATCCTTTTCTTAAAGAATCATTTGCCCTTCCACTCCCAGCTTCTCAAGTTGAGAAAAGCGTAAATCTCAGTTTCCCATGGCAGTGAAGTTCAACGTGTTGTGGTAAAAACTACTGATGCCCTTAAAGCTATGTCCTTAGTTTTCTGTGGTACCACAAGCCGCAGATCCTGCCTGGTTTTGTACTTCAGTATTAAAGGAGGACTTGGGTGGTTGTTTTAGAACAAGTGCTGGTTTAGAGTGTGATGTAAACAGTGCTTTCTACTCATGGCTGTGAAGTGAAATGCAGTTGGTTTAGGGGTAAAATGCGTGCTGTGGAGAAGCAGTGAAAACATTTACAGGATTTTTATGTTTAAAAATGTGGTCTGGTTGGCTTCATTTCCAAATATAGAATGACATATTTTCACTTTATCTCATCTTCCCTATTGAAAAAACAGGGCTGACATTTATAATTGTTTACATAATATTCAGAATAAAAAGTATAAATGTTGTATGTTACTTGGCATATGAAATGCTTTGCTGAAACCAAGGGATTCTTTCTAACAGAGTGAATTTAATTCTTTCCATACTGACACAAGTCCTGGGGTAAGGTAGGCATAGCGCCTGGATTATATGCGTGGAAATCACAAGTTCTTCAGCTGCACAGGATGTTTGCCTAAGATTTGAAAATTGAGGATACTGATACTTTGCAAAATATCCCAAATGTACCAAGGTTATATGGTTGGAGAATATTTTTCTGAGGCACCTAACTTAATCAGACTTTAAATTACTCCAGACTCAGTCAGAAAGATACCAATCCTGCACATCAAGGTATTACAGTGCCTGTTATCCATTCTCATTAGGGAAAGCTGGATTGGTCAAGAGCCATTAGCAAATCAACCTTGTCCCAAACCAAGACAGACTTAAACCATCTTCTCTCACTCCTGTTCCGGTGGGGAGCTTCTGTTCATTGCTCAAATTCATCTTGATAGCTCAGGAAATCTGGCAGTTTCTCTCACACCAGCATCTGTCTCTTCATGTATTTTGGATCATTTCATGTTTTGCTAGATTGGATTGCGTTAGGCAGCTGAATGATAGGAGTGCATGAAGATCTATGGACTCCTTTTCCTTTGCTGAAATGTACTCAATAGCAAATCTCTTTTTCCATTCAAGAGGAAGAACATATCGTATTCGGGCATTTCCTTGAATTTCTTAGTTGTACCTATTTGCTTTTCCGTTCCTGTTACATGCTCACCTTTCAGACTCCATCCATAAGTAGTCTGAGAAATGGGTTGATGTTCTTCATTTACTATTTGCGATCTCTGCATACATCTACTGGACAAGGAACTTTAGTATTCATTTAACTTCTGTCTTGAACCACTTTGAAGAATGAATCATCTCAGTCACTAAGATACTGAACTCACTGAGGTTTGTACAGACAGCTAAAGACGAGACAGCTGCTAAAGCTGAATGTTTGTTTTGATTAAATCGTCACTTGAAAGATCTAAAGATAGTTGATTTTCTTGTCCTTAATAGTCAAAGTGAATCTTGGCCTTAAAGATCATTTCTGCATTCTGGAAATGTTTTTTGCTGACCGATGTTGCTTTTGACTTTGTATCAGGTACAGACTGCTTTCTCTCTCCATGTGTTTGTAAGAATTAACGCAGTCCATGCATGCACTGGGAAAGGAGGACATGCTCTTCACCTGCATTGTGGGTGGGGAGAGACTGCACATTCCCAGTGCTCCAATTCACGTGTCACATTCTTCTTTCTGGACTACGGACAGGGAAGTACTGAAATTGTGGTGTGCTCCAGAGTGCTGTATTCTTTTGGTGTCTGTGCAGGACTGCAAACAAACTAACAGTTAACACTCTGAGTTTAAAACGTTTTGAAAATATTGACTGGATTAGAATATACATTTGAATATCAATTAAAGTGTTAGTTGGCTCATTGGCATATGATTTAAGTGATTAAGAGGAACAATTTCATATCCCCTCTACAACTGTTGTTAACCTCTAAGATTCTAAAATGTTGAAGAAAATTCAATTAAACTCTGCATAGTACGATTTTCTGTACAGCAGTCATTATGGAATCCAATCCAAGCACAAGCTTTCAGACTTGAGAGCAGTAGCATCAAATGGCATTGGACAAATTCTGCCTCAGAAGGAAATATTATAGTTACCGATTTATAACCATTGCTTCCTGCTTGCCTGTTTTTCCAATGGTGTATTTCAAGCTGTACCCTAACATCATTCCTCATAGCTTATTAGATCTGGAAACATCACAGTCCAAATTGATCCTCTCTGAAAAATAGATCAGAGCTTATGCACAATGATCTGTGGCTTTCCTTGATCCATTACGTAATTCTCACAAGGACAAAGAGGCTCAGGTGTTAATTGGACTATTAATTTTGACCTGTAAGCAAGAGCGAGAAGTGATGTTCTCTGAATCACTAGCAACTGTCTTTCTCTTACTGTTCCTAGGTGATGAAGTAGGCATTCCTCAGTTGCTTGCAGTGGCATCACGTCTGAGGGACACCGCAGAGTTGTTCCAATCGGATGAGATGCGCCCAGCTAACGACCCCAAGGAGCGAGCTCCTCTCAGGGTCAGGATGCTCAATGATGTGCTACAAAGCTTGGAAAAAAGCTTCCTGGTTCATCGAGCTCCTCCAGGACTTTACAGGTATGGTGTTCAACACGTTCTTCATCTGAGCTCAAAGGATAATCTCGCATTGCCTGGGTTTCAAAACTGTCACGCTCTTATAAAAAAAGTCTCAGTGAGTATCCAAGATTAAAGCTGTTTTTTTCCTATCTCATCCCTTATGCAGAAAACAATTCATTACCATACAAGAGGTGATTAGAGTGCAGCACTGTAGCATTTCTGTCATGACATCACTGCTAACAAGATGTACGGTGTGATGGCAACTCAGGCAGCGTGACAGATGCTTGTGTTAGACGGTACAATGAGCTTTCAGAAGAAGAAATTATTTTGAAGTCTAATACTGCTTGACAAGCTCCACCTATATTTTATTTAAAACTTTTTACAGTTCATTGAAGATTTAGAATTATACAAGATACTGTGTAGCATTATTTAGCATATTTAATTATGTAGCCGTGTTCTTGGGTGCATTTCAACCACTCAAAGGCAGTACAGGGGAGTGAATGAGAGGGCCTTATAGTCAGTCACCATTCATAACATCTTGTCTCTGGTTAGAATTATCCTCAAACATGTATTCAGCTGCACTACCCAGGCTGATTTTAAGATGTCATAATCATTCCATCTTTCACTTTCTAAGAAAAAAGTGTACAAAGTCTGTGTCTCTCACCGTAGACTGCTCTACAAAAAACAAAAACAAACAAAAAAAACAAAACAAAACAAAAAACCCGCAAACCACTTAAGCAAACAGTAGCTGGAAAAAAGTTTGAAAAGCAAGAACTGACCGAGCCTGCCCTGAGTAGTGCCTGGCCCTCTGGCTGTTCAGGAGAAGTGATGGAGTGTGCGCATGTGCTGCAGCCCAGGCTGTCTGAAGCACCGTGTTGCAGCCCATCACTGTAGCGTTACGTAGCCTCAACCCAAGGATATGTTTCGAATGCCCTGGGCTGTAGAGTGAGGGCATACGTGGGCTGTTTGACTTCAGCAGCTCTGCTGGGGTTGTTTGGAAGGACTCTGTGGCTGACGATAGTCGATGGCTCGTCCATACTGCCCATTACGAGCCTTCCTCAAGTGAAAGTGTCCCTAAAGCCATACCCAGGTTTCACTTTGGGGGAAACTGGTGTGCATACTCAAAAAAGAGAGGTCAGGAGTGAACTGACAGACATACACAGGAGACAGAGAGGGGCCAGGACACAGAAGGGAATGAGGCATTGAGGTTATTTAGGAATATAAATGTACTCACAACCAGAACTAACAAAAGTAATAACACAGTGCTTCGTTGCAGTTGATGGGAAAACTTGTCAAATGCCTTGTGCAAGTGTTTGTTTCAAGTGGGCACAAAACAGACAGATGGTAGAGGTAGAATCTGGAAGCAAAGCAGAAAGGTGCAGCAGCAGGAGGAAGAGATTCTTCCAAGCATTGGGAATGACAGAAAGCAAATACAGTCATCTTTTAGCAAAAACAAAAGGAAAAGAAAGGAAGGCAATTGTGGTGAACTCAGCAGTGTCAGTGAGTAAAATCCCTACAGCTATAATAAAGAAAATATGATAGTGATATTTGGGGAGGGACTAATTTATTTCATTCCTGCCGTGACTAGATTTATAATATAAAGAAATAAACCAAAATGTGATTAAATAAAGTCTAATATTCCAGTTTTAGCACTGCTGTCTTTCTTGTCTGAGCTGGTATGGTGTTGCAAAGGAGCCATAAAACTACTTAATGTAATGTAATGTGTCTGTGTTGCATCACAGTGGCACATTGTTGAATCTCTCCCAGTTCTCTGTAAAAATAAATTCTACCAAAACTTAGGATTCCAGTAAAAGGGTTTTTTGAGGTCTTCTAATATTTAAATTATTGCGGTGCTTGCAGCATGAAGTTTGTTATTCATCAGGATGTAGTTGATAGATATGCAAGTATAATGTGAATTGAATTTTTCACCTTCCTGCTCTCAGCAGTATTCACACTGGCAAAGTAAATAGTGTGGAAGTGAAAATTTTGTAATTTTTTGCCTTCCTGATTTCATTAAATCTGATACAAGATTTAACAGTGGATAAGGTTACTTCAGAGTTTGGGAAAACTCTGTATTTGACTTTACTCTGAACTATTTTACCTAACGTCATCTAAAGTATATGTCAGTAAAGTACTCCTGGTGAATCATCATTTAGATACTTATCAAAAAAGAATGCATTCTTTGTACTGTGCCAAGGTGTGTAATTGTAGAGTAGTGCAGTTTAATGCAAACAGAATCGAGGACAGAGCTAGATTTCTGATTTCTTTTCCTGCCATTAAGAATCTGCAGTACAGTTTCTTTTCAAAAAAGCATCTAACAATATGTCTTTATTTGGGTTATTTTTCAGTTGTAGGGATTGAATGTCCCTCTATTAATTGATGCAGTTATATGAAGCCATTTGGTGTTCTGAAGTTACAGTTGTGTCACAGGAGCACTAGAAATACTTGAAAATCCTGATGTACTTGTTTGTGTGTTTGTTTGTATAACTTTAAGCTTTTCTTTTTGTAATTTGGTGAAGAAAACAAACAAAAGAATCCATCTCACAGCCAGGACCTTGTATGCCATGTTTCATCCCAGTCGGAAGATTGATGGGCAAGTTATAAGCCCCTGAAATAGTGGTTTATAATGGAAATGCTGGCAGCCCTTTAACTATAGCAGTGCGAGCAGCGCTGCAATAAATACTATGCTTCATCTGTAAACAGAAATTTAGGATGCAGTTTGCAGCCTTGACCTTCAGGCTCCAACTGTGTTTAGATCATTAAGATTCCATAAATACTGTAATTTACAGCCTTCTGAAGGAAGAATTTTTGTGCACAGTAAAGCACGTATTCTTCATGAAAAAATGATTGCTTCCTGTATACCCATTTGGACTCATATTCCCAACCTCAGTCAAACTACTTGACAAATTTGCTGAAGTTTAGGCATCATTTTTACGCCTGCGTTTGTTCTAATTCACAGCTCTCTGGATCTGTACTATGTTTTCTCTTCTAGAACTTGAGTTAAAAAGAAAGGTTGGGGGTTTTTTTCTGTATTGCAGGAGGTGGGTTGCAACCTGCTTCTGTTTGTATACTACAGGGGAACTAATACATCTTTTCTATATCTTTTTTTTGTATGGTTTGTACATTCATTGCCACAGTTGTAGCCTCTTACTGTGTATGTGTATTTAAAAAAATAGAAGCATCCTCTCAGTCAATGTCATAGGGCTGTATTTGGCCATAATTGCTATAATGAGCAAGAAAATTATTCGAAGTTACTAATAGAATTCAAACTACTTTGATTTTAGATAATTATATTAGGATATCCTGACTAAATTTAAGTAATGATGCTTGACATTGGCAGGTTGTTCAATACAGTGTAAGTAAACACTGTAGTTTAGGTGATTATCCTTCTTACCTGAACTTCATGACATTGAACTTAAAATTTTAGAATAGCGTACTTTCCCCATGATATTCTGTTTCCAGCTGAGCTGGAAATATACAAGTACAGCTTTCATCAGGGTATTTTATAGTCTTATCCAGAAATTGAGGCAGAATGAAAAATAATAGGTTGAGAAATGTTATCCTACTTTGCAAAGGTTACCCTGGGGCTTGACTTGGGGTTAGGACAAAATCTCTGAGGTTTATTGTACCAGAAGTATTTCTGTGATTCCCAGTGGTAACCCCAGGTAGACTTTCTACTTCCAAAATAAATGTTTAGGAAAAAAATACGATAGCTATTGGTATTTTTCATTCATCTGCCTTTGCTTTTCATAACACAATCATAATATTCATGTTTGTATGATTTATATTTTGTCATTGCTTTAATGGAATAATCAGTAGAAACCTGTACATGTTTGTTTCTTTCCTGTAGCCAATTCTTGCTCTCCATTTTTATAATGTATTCTTGCACTGAACATTACTGTGTATTTTCTGATGCTCATATTTTGGTACTAGTGCTGATAACTATGGATTACACTGCAGTGGCACATACAAAGCTAATTTAAGAACAGAGGTTCTGTTACTTTAGGCACTTTGCATAGACAGCAAAAAAAAGAGAAGATCTCAAGCATATTGTCCTCTCAATGAGATGGTCAGCCTCAGCAGAGATATAAGATCATTCTATAAATACCGAAACATAATAAGAAAACCCTTACCAGCATTGAATAAAGCACATGTGTTTGCCTGCTAGGGACAGGAGAAGATGCTTTATGTCTGTATTCTAAACAAAGGGTGCTTCAGCAATAAATAAACATAGATAGAAGCAAAGACCTGGGGCAGCGTCCCTACAGTGACAGCAGCTTGTCTGATAAGGTCAAGGAGGTGCTCGCTGACCCCTGTTCTGACGATGATTAACCACATCCCTACATGGCTTCTGAGAGAGAACAAAATTAATTTCTGTAAATGAATGTTTGCAAGTTAGGTAATTGGGCAAACATGTCCATGCTGATTAGTGTGTGTCCTCTTTGTCTCTTTTCCTGAACATCTTAGTCTGTCGTGCATCAGCTAATCCTTAAAACTCTCAGACTCTGGAAGTCTGCTGTCATGCTTTTGCATGCTTTTCTCTCTATGAAAATACCTACCAAAACACTGACACCAGCAATGTCACGGGTAACAAGACAGCGTGTATCTTCCTGGTGTTTATAAATATTGAGCTTGAATCTGATGTTTGCCGAGACCAAGTAAGACCATTCCCCCAGTTCCTTGTATATGTTATTGTATTTCTTATATTTGCTGATCACCACAGCCTCTGACAACCTGTCAGCCTAATATATCTGTCAAGTCTGTCTGTGCACTCCTTAGATATTCACACAGAGAGCTTGTGTCTTTTTGCTGAAAGGCGTAGCACTTCAATGGCATTGGAACTATGAATAATAATACTGCAAACAAATGCGATAATCAAGAAAACTCCATGGAGTATCAGGCACAGGACACTCAGTGCAGTAAGATGTCCTCTCTTACTGAAAGTGTTTGATTTCTTCAGGTCCTTGTCTAATCTTCATATTTGATGGATCCAGTAGTTTCCCAGGTGCAGGGGTTTCCTA